CAGAACCTGAATGCCCAGGTTTTGGTGGTGGCTAGGTGTGCCTTTGCGCAATCAATACAAGTGTGCCAGCTGCACCTATTCCTGGAGGGTCTGATCTGGCTGCAGTGACACATGTCTTAGTTACTTCCCGGTTGAATTACTGTAACACTGCCCATAGAAAGTGTCAGTGGGTCCAAAACACAGCCAGGATCACATAAATCCCTATTACAGCAACTCCACTGGCTGTTGGTCCATTTTTGAGCTGAATGTAAGGAGTTGGTTCTAATCTTTAAAGCCTTAAATCAGGGGTGGGCAATTAATTTCTATAGGGTGGGGCACATGAAAAATCTGAACTGTGTTTGGGGGACGAACCAACTTTACTTAAAAATAAAATGAAACAGTGATGTTATGATTGTTTTTTAAAAAACTTGTTTATCTTCACAAATACTAAAGAGGTTGTTTGCGGTATGTTAAAGATTAGCAACTGATCAACTTTAGACAAAAAGCTATAAATGGATTTGATGTTCAAAACTGTCCGCAGGCCAGACAGGAGCGGCTCGCGGGCCGTATGTGGCCCTCGGGTTGCACGTTGCCCAGGTCTGCCTTAAATGGTTTGGGCCCAGGCTATCTCAAGAACCGCATCTCCATTTATGAGCCTGCTCAAGTGTTAAGATCATCAGGAGAGGCCTTTATCTCAGTCCCATTACTTCACAGGTATGTTTGGTGGATGCATGGGAGAGGGCCTTCTCGGTTGCTGCTACCAGCCTTTGGAACTCCTTCCCACAGGATGCTATGCTGGCCCCATCTTTGCTGTCCTTCTCCAATTAGGTGAAGACTTTTCTCTTCAAACAGGCTTTTTCTGTGTAATTGGATTCCTGAGTGGGGTTTTTAAGACGGATTTTGTACCTTACTATTTTGAATGTGTTTCGTCATTTGTTTTGATTTTTTTTCAGTATTTGTAGACTTACTGCTTTTAACTTTAAATATTTTCTTGAAGTGATATAAGCCTCTCTGGATTCTTTTTAAGGAGAAAGGTGGTATTAAAATTTTTAATAAATATATGAAATGAAATAAATAGTGTAAGAATAGAAAGTAGAGATCTAACATGTGGACTTTGTATAATTTTAAAAGGCTTTTGTTACTGTTATGTGCTGTGAAGTCACTTTCAACCTATCATAACTCTTTGAGTTAATAACCTCCAAAAGATCTTGTCATTAGGAACCTGCTCAGATCTTGCACACTCAAAAGATGTGGCTTTCTTTATTGATTAAAGACTTTGAATATGTCTCACTAAATTGTTAATCAGCATTCCTTACCCTAATTAATGACAACTACTTGTAAAATGCTCTTCCTGAAATTTTTTCAGGAATGTGCTTCCATGTTGTAACCTGCTTACCTGGAAATCAGTCCCTGGAGTGGATATGGATAGGGTTGCTATCTGATACTTGAATTTAACAGGATCTTTATGAGTTGCTTCTCTTTCTTTCCCACCTTTCTGGAAGAGCAACATGCAGTCTATGATCATGTGCTTTGCCAATTCAATAGGTCACATCGTCTAATTGTTACTGAGGGACAAAGGATAGAATGCATTAGTGCTATCAGTTTTTCCCTTATAGAACATAATAGTAAATTGATCAGTCATTTACTAGAGTGTCCTCTGGAAAAGGTGACATTCTACTCATTGCTCTGTTTTTTCTGTTCGTGACAGCACAGCATTTGCCATGTTTACCCACCACTGTGCATTGGAAGATGTTATTAGTAATTAATAACTAATCCAGTTTACATTGATGCATCAGACTTCATATAGCTACAGTGGATTAACAGCTTTTTGAAATTTGATTATAAAAATTTAGTTCTTTATTTGGTTTTTAATAAATTATTTTAATTTTTTTAGTGTATTGGGTGCTTATTTTGGTTTTTATCAGTACCACACATAAAATGGCAATTGTACAAATAGTTTTATCCCATTTTCTGATTTGTTGTGTGCTAGTTGTGCAAGCAGTTGTGTGACTAATACCCAAGAAAATGGAGAAAACTACTTGAGTGATTGCTGAACCACATGTAATAAATTGAGCACGTTACTGAATGAGGTCCTCTGCATTTCACCCTCACATGCTAAGATGAGGAGTGGTTTAAAATGCCCTGCCTGATGCTCTCTAGATATATATTTTGAGGTTACTGGGTTGATGAAGGCTAGAATAAAGAGAAGCTACCTAGGGAGTATGACGAGTGCATGAACTTTCAGAACTCATTTTCTGTGGTAAACACTTCTAGTTTTAGCAAACTGAAATGTAAAAGAAATAACTCCCCATTAATATTTTGGCACAAATTAATTGTAGTAATGCCAAGTGCTACGTCTTAAAAATTCAAATTATAGTGCAATCATATGCATGTCTCCTCAATAGTCCTGCTGGGCTTTGATCCTAGGGCTGCAGCTTCAGTTTAGCTTGGTTCAAAGTTTAAAAGCAAAATAAAGAATAGGCTACATACTACTTCAGGATATCAGTTTCTACCAGCATTTTAAGAATCAGCAGTAGCACGGCTGCATCTTCCCTCAAGTTTCCAGAATGCATTCTGGTTGTAAATAGGGTCAGACAACGACTACTACTACCCAAAGCCCTTGCTGTTAGGCAAGAAGACTCCAGAATGTCATCTATGATGTGTGTGGAAATATACCTGAAATGAATTCCCTTCCTCTCCTGATGCTAGCATGGATATGATTTCTTCTGCTGAGTCTTAAGTTGTGGGAACAGTCAAATATGAAGTGGTTCTTCAGGCACATACATTGTTTCGATAAAAAGTACTGTAATATGGAAAACAGTCCCCCAATGTAAGTCCCATTCAATTAAATTAAACGTGTGTGTGTGTGTGTGTGTTTGTAGACTCATTTATAATTCTAACTCCTTTGATTGTAAAGACTTTCTAGCAATTTTGCAAACTTTTCCTGATACCTCTGGGATTGGGAGGGGTGGCAAGTGGGTAGCATACCCTGAAGAGGCCTGGGATTTTAAATGCCTTGTCTAATGGTAACTGATGTGCATTGGAGTAGAGATAACAGAGGCGTGAACCCATCAACAGGAGGAGGAACAGCAGCATTTTTCCAGATGTAAGTGATTTCTAGTTAAGCTCACTGATCCAGCATCATGTGATTAGAAATGCAGGCAGCAGATTCATGCTGAACTGACATCATGCTTTTCAAATTCACTGGAAATTAAAAAGGAGGTGGGGGCAAAGCAGGGAGGGAAGATTCCTCTTGACTCTTCCTGGTACTGGGGAATTTCTAGCTCCAGCTTGTTTGCTGTTAAAGGCAGCAGCAGCAGCAACTGACAGCAGCAGTGCACATAGTTCAGAATATTCAATGAGGTCGAGCTGGATGATAAGTAACCCTGCTATAGAAACATCGCCTGTAAGTTCTGAAGCTAGTTGCAATAAGTTTTCTGTCTGTGTCTCACTCTTGTTTTACTCTTTTTCAAATTAAACTCTGTGCTCCCCAGGACAGACTACAACTGTATCTGAGTATGGAAGTAGATGGTTTGCAGTTTTCATCTTTATGTTCTGCTACAAAAGAAATAAATTTTATTTACCAAAGCAAAACATGTCCAATAACATGTTGTCCTGTTACATGCCTAAGGAAAAAATGAAGGCACTTCTCTGGTCACCACACAGCTTAAGCTGTGGCTAATATAGTTAACATAGTGCTTGTCTCTTCAGGTGGTCTTGTAATTTTCTAATTACTCTGCTCATGGGACAGTAATGCTGGATAGAACAGTGCTTAATATTTAGACCCAAGGATACTTTAAGTGATATTGCAGTTGGAATTTTGATGATTGCATTCAGAGTTTCACTGTGTAAATGCAACATGCTTATATAATGATGCCTAACTGGATTGAATTCAAGTAGTCCTCTATATTTTTAGCTACTAGGGGACTTTTGAAGTTGAATAGATAGCATTTGCAGGGGAAAATTGATTCAGTACCTTACGAAATAGAATAATCAGTAAAAATAAAAAAAAATACAAAAAAATTCCTAGCTTCTCTTTGCTTCCTCCCTTCCTGTGTACAGTATGTGCTTGCATGCATGCTTGCTTACTTATATATACACACAAATTCTTTTCTTCATACTTCAACTTATTTATTGTTTCATTTCACAAGAACAATTATTGCCATTGAATACTGCTGTGCTTCTAGCAATTAATATATTAGAGATTAGAACTGCTCACAATTTTAATTTAGCCTGGACTGGTAATGTGGCTTCAAAACATATAACACAACTAATTCATAGCCTGAATCTTCTTGCATGATGGTTATAATAATGAGATATGAATTCCAACTTTCTAAAAATAAATGCAGCTAGCTTTAGATCAGAGAGTATGATTGTGTTGGTTTTCAATTAGAAGCTTTCTGTTTGCCTTTTTATCATTGCCTTTGAAAAGAATAAGCACAGGATTTAGTATCTGAAATGCTAAGCCATATGTCAGAAAAATGAACAGATGTTCAGTGTTACCATTGTCTTTAACACAGATATGGAAAATAGTGCATCACACCTTTGTTCTAGACTCAGGTTAATTCCCCAAACCATAAATCAATGTTTACAAAATATCTACAGTAACAATTATTTTAATATGTTTGGTGACTGAGTTTGAATTTGTCTCTCCCTCTCCCCTCTAATTATTTTGTTTACTGTTTTATCAGGTGGAAAAACAACCAGTGGAGGCAAGTTTACATATTTTCAGGGAGTAAGGTTTAGGGTATGGAAGGGGTGGTAAGTGAAGGGAAAATATCAGATTTATTCTGAGAACTGCTTTTACTGCTTTTCCAAATTCTCAACAACATGGAAATCATTATTGTCCATACCTTTGGTGATAATTGTAGTCTGTCAGAAATACTGAGTGACTGTTGGGAAATAAAATATTCCTGGTGTTTTTAGAGATCTCTGTAATTAAATGTATATGAATTTATGCTACATTGTTCCTTGTTTGTCCAGATGGCCATACAGATTATGTTTCCCTTTTCCCCCCTAAGCGTTCAACTCATGAATCGATCCTTGTTGAAGATGAGGTGACAGACACTGAAGATAATGAAGAGGATGATTTAGGGGTCCGAGATGACCAACGTAGCATAATTCTGCATCTTATCTCTCAGCTCAAACTTGGAATGGATTTAACCAGGGTATGTTCTATAAACCAACACTGTATTGGTTTTTTTTTAATTACTTGCTATTGAATTAGTTTTCTTGTTTGTCTTTAGTGACAGCCTTATCCCAAAATCTGCTACTACATAACCTTCTGCCACTCTATATATGCTAGGAAATCAACTTTACCAAGCAGGAACCATGCTGTTCTCATACAAATCTTTAACATTTAAATTCACTGAATGTTACCACTGTTCCTTCCAAGAGATAGCCTTGAAACCAAGAACTAGCTTTCTTCTTTGTGGCCTCTGTGAATGCACACAGTTGGTTTGCTCTGCACCTGCGCAGGACGGTTCAGAGGTTTTTAGAGCTTGAAAACATGTGCTCTGCCCTCCCAAAGTCCCCTTAGTTCCTTTTTACCACCGCTTCGGTAGGACATACTTTGGAACGCTAGAGCTATACACAGAGAGTATTTCATTCTAATCATTCTATAATAGATTCCAATCAATATTCTTTGACATTCCCCTGTGTTTAGCAACTATTTCTCCCCATTCACAGTTTTTTCTCTTCCTGTGTTCCCCCCCCATCACCAGTTTTTCCTCCTCTTATTTTATTGCCCCCCAGGACCATTCAAACGGTGCATCATTTGCACCAATAAAATACCGCTAACAGATGGGCATGACCATTGCTTATTTTGTCTAGGAGAACAACATAAGACTCACTTGTGTCTGGAGCGTAAAAAACTCACCAAACCAGCATTCAAATTACGGTTACAATGATTAAGATCTTACCTATGGGAAAGATCCCTCAATCCGACCATGGAACCAATGACATTGCCAATTTCTAAAGAAATGGCTCACTCTGCAACGGCTCGCTCCATATCGAGCCCAATGCCAATTCCATCTTGGCAAAAAGAACTTTCGAAGCTGTCTTTGAAGTCGAGCTCAACTCCCATTTCTGGAGCTCCGACCCATTTTGATGAATCATTTAAAAAGAAGAAAGACAAAGTCAAGACAAAAAACCCCAGAGAAAATGACAAATTTCACTCAGACTGACCCTCCTCAACCAATGATTTCATTACCCATTCTAGAAGAATCATCTTGAGAGGCCCCTGTTTCAATTTCAGACAGGGATGATCCTACTTTGACACTGGCCGAGGCTATAGTTTCTATTGCTAGTCTGTTGTTTAGTACAGGCCTATCCCCAGCTGATGTGCAATGGGCGTAGGCCCATTCAAACCCTCGTTCATCAGGGTGGGCGATACATGTTGAGCCTTCATAGTCCCTTCCTCTTCATTGCGTGAAGGATTCTACTCCAGATACTTTACGGTTCCCAAAAGGATGGAGGACTTCATCCTGTTCTTGATCTCAGGAGCCTCAACAAGTTTATTCTACCCTGATGCTTTCGAATGCTAACTCTCAAAACTGTCATCTCCCTCCTTTCAAAGGGAGACTGGTCCATCGTTACCAACCTGCAAGATGCTTACTTCCTGTAGTGAACAGCCCTGACCTCACCTGCCCATCATTGCGGAACATTCATGCAAGAACCAATGAGAGAATGGAAGGCGGTACAAGGGGGGACTGGAAAAGATAAAAAGGCTGGGAGAGAGTGTGTGTGAGAGACTGGGTGTGGTTTGAAAAGAAAAAAGTGAGTTAGAGAACTCAAAGCATGGAGATTGAAATAGAGGGTTAAAAGAGTTAAGAAAAATTATTCTAATAGATCCAATATAAGTGATTTACATCCAGTAATTGATTCTACTTGTCCTCACTGATTATCATCGTCCCTTGTTAAATAAATGATTTGTGTTTTGGCATCACACATATCCAGGCTTTGACTTGATATTAACATCTGGTGGCAGCAAGGAGGAAAGAAGAGCGTAAGTCTTGTGAAGACCAGGGGGATAGTGACTTCAAAGGCGATCATGACAAAGTTCGCTACACTTCCATGTTTCCATCCATCCACTCCATCACAAATTTCTTCAATTCAGATCCAACAACGTATCGTACCAATTCTTCTCCCTTCCCTTCAGACTTTCCACAGCATCGAGAACATTCACCAAATATATGGCAACAGTCACAGCTTACCTCTGACTCCAGGGAGTCACCATTTCCCCATATATAGACGATTGGTTAATAGTTGCTCCTTCCTACCATGATGCAATCAGAGCTACAGAGTTAACCCTTGACACTCTTCAAAGCTTAGGTCTCAAAATGAACACTGCCAAGTCTCACTTGGAACCCTTGCAGACTGCCACCTACATCGGCACGTACTTTGACTCTCTCCGAGCCAGAGCCTTCCTACCACAAGAGATGATCAACAAATTAAAACAAGCTATCTGACCATTCCGACCCTTAGCATCGGTATCGGCACACCAAACTCAGCATCTCCTCATGGCATCTACTACAGCTCATGGCATCTACGACAGCTGTCATTCAACAAGCACGGCTCAAAATGAGATCACTGCAAGTGTGGTTCCTGTCACTAATTAACCCCATAACAGATCAGCAGTCCAAACATCTCACAGTAACACCAGAAATTGCCAATCAACTTACCTGGTAGATGTTCCTCCCTCATTTGATAGTAGGCAAACCCTTCCAACCTCTGCAACTATCCACACAAGTCACTACAGAGGCCAGCCCATCGGGATGGGGAGCCCACTGTCAACATCACAGAATACACGGTCTGTGGGCGAAATGAGAGCAGTCATTACATATCAACCATCTAGAACATTTGGCAATCATCAAAGCTTTTCATGCCTTCCTACCACTTATTGCAGGACGAGCAGTACAGGTAGCTACAGACAACACCACAGCGCTGTACTGTGTCAAAAAACAAGGAGGTACCCGCTCCCTATCACTTTTATATCTTGAGATAGAACTGTGGAAATGGTGCTACCTCCACCACATTTTCCCAGTGGCAGTCCATGTCTCCACAGAGGACAACTGCCTCACAGATCGCCTGAGTCGTCTTACCATAGGGACACACAAGTGGGCACTGAACGACTAAGTCTTCGATCTCCTCTGCCACCGATGGGGACCTCCGTCCATCAATATCTTTGCCTCAGAGGCCAACACCAAATGCCAATGGTATTGCTCTTGAGCTGGCATCAACCCCAAATCACTTGGCAATGTGTTTATGACGGACTGGACTGGAGAACTGCTCTACCTGTTCCCACCAATTACTCTCATCCAAAGATTGGTCATTCGACTACGACAATCCTAAGCTGATGCCATCTTCATCGCTCCGTGGTGGCCACATCAACCGTGGTTCACCCATATGAGATCGATGTTGACCGACGTATTCCACCTGCCGTTGATACCCAACCTTCTCAGAGCAACGGGATGATCCTCCACCCCGACATCCTCTCTCTGAACCTGACAGCCTGGAGAATATTCCTGCCATTCGAAGTGTCCTGGATCGGCTTGAAAGCCATCTACCCAGAAACTATCTCAAAATAAATGGAAATCTTTCATCTCCTTCACTCATTCCTGAAGGACTCCAAAATATTCAGTCTTCAACACAATGACCTATACCAGAGTGGTAATTACAACTGGTCCTCAACTCCCTCACTAGACCACCTTTTGAACCAATGGCCACCTGTGATCTTAGGTTATTTTCTTTGAAAACATCATTTCTTGTGGCAATAACATCTGCCAAATGTGCCAGTGAATTAGTGGCTCTCAGATCTGATCCACCTTATCTCCAATTCCATCCAGACAAGGTCACCTTATATTTTGATTTATTGTTTTTACCAAAAATTGTCTCCGATTTCCATCTAAATCAGCCATTGATATTGCCAACTCTGTTCCCTTCTCCTTTTACACCCATCGAGTGCATGCTCCATATGATAGACATCCGAAGGTCTCTGACTTTCTATATTAATAGGACAAGAATATTCAGGAAGTCTCCAAGACTCTTCCTATGTTTCCAAGGTCCTCACAAGGGTGCTCCAGCAACAGCTCAAACCATCTCTCGCTGGATTTTTCAGGCTATCTCATTGAATTATGAACTTTCAGGCAAGAAACCTCCTGAACACTTAAAAGTGCAGTCCACCAGAGCACTATCAGCATCTACTGCTCTCCACCGTGGAATAGAATTAGCAGAGCAGCTACCTGGTCTAATCCTTCAACCTTTGTGAAATATTATTGCCTTTATGTCAGGGCAAAGAATGATGCTGCATTTGACAGAGCGATACTGACATCTCTTATTGATTGATTGATTGATTGATTTAATATCCCACCGATCTGGTCTTGCGACAACTCTAGGCAGCTTCCAATACAATATAAAACAACAAGTAAAATAGCACAAAAATTATTATATAAATAACTTAAATAACTTCCATAACAATTTACAAGACAGGAAAAATAAAGTAAAAAATAAAGAAAGAAAAATAAAGAAAGAAAAAATGGTGAGACGTCTCGTACCATGACGTCCCACCATCTAGTAAGTGAGCTTGTCAGTCACCCAATTGTGTGCATTCACAGAGGCCACAAAGAAGAAAGAGAGGTTATCTACCTGTAACCATGGTTCTTCTAGTGGTCCTCTATGAATTCACACATCCCACCCTTCCTCCCCTCTGTCCGTCACATTGTCTTTAATACAATACCTTGACTGTGAAGGAACTGAGTGACCTTGGGAAGGCGGAGCATGTGCTCCACGGGGGAATCGCATTGTCACATGTTTTTAAGCTCTAGAAACTTCCAAAACATCCTGCGCAGGTGCAGAACAACCCAATTGTGTGAACTCGTAGAGGACCACTAGAAGAACCATTGTTACAGGTAGGTAACCTCTCTTTTTTTATTTCTCCTCCCTGCTTTTGGGCAGTGAAAATGAGGCAGGATCCAAAATATGGTTCCAAGTACAGAGCTATGGGTTATGGTCTTTTCCTCCTCCTCTTTCTCCACCACCTTCTCCTCTCCTTCAGTAATGCCAGAACCTATGTTGAACCACTTCTGTTCCTTGCCAGTGTCAGCTGTCCCGTTCTAATATAGAGAGAAACATAATATATATTATTTTATATATTCTGTACTGAGAATTA